TCACTAAACTTTTTAGTTTTTAAACATGTATTGTCAATCTTTTCTCCTTGAATGACCTTTATTCCTATCCTTAGTTGGAATGTGATTGATAGGGGAAGTTGGGGTAAAGTGAGCAATTGACGATTTCAAGTGCTTATTTATTTAAATATCAATCAATTCAACGCACAGGCATGCACAATTCTACCCAGGTATACAGCTAATAGAGACCTGCAAAAGGCATATTAGTGGGTTTATTGATTATTTTAGTGTATCGGAAAGTATTTACTCTTAAATTTGTTTCTCTTCCACAGCGCCTAGATTGAACCGAGCAAGTCTGATTGCCACCAAATCGGAGAATTAATTGTTTGCTTTTTAATATACAATCATGGAAAACATATTTTGTTCCTGGACTTCGCGACTGACATTTGAAAATGGTCTAAAATGTTTAAAATTTATAATTATGATTTTTTTTTAATTCGCATTAACTTGAGAACGGCTGGAGTAAGGAAAAACAATTTTTGAGCAAAATTTATCAAAAAATATGCGTAGAATCATAGGATCCAATGTTATTACCTTACTAAGAAATATGCAATTTCGTTATATATTCAATCTACCAATAAAAATTTAATAAATTAGTTGTGCATCGAACAAGCATTTAACGTTCAATTTAAAAGTATTGTACTTGGTAGTACCGCCACCTGTGGCGCGCATAGTCAATTGCCTTGCGTTTGACGTTTACACACTACCGCCATCTGTTCAGCGTACTACCCACCACAGTGTATTCAACAGATGGCGGTAATGATTGAGCGACGATGTTTTACAGTGATAAATATTCAAGTTGTTATGTCTGTTTGTCTGTGTACGTACCTTCAAAACAAAAATCTTTAAATCTTTGTTTTCCACTTATAAGCTATTTATTCTTTGATTTTGTTTGTGGATGACACAACGATTGCAATTAATAAATTCGATTCTAAAACAAAGAAAGTTTATAAATTTTGCATTTGTTATTGCTTCACTGGGGCACAATTTCTATCAGAAGTATATCAACTTTCTATGCCTTTGTATGAGGTGCGCTTTTATGCAAACACTCTTGAGTATGCATCAAAAGGTGATTGCGAATGGCATGCAAATGACCCACTAGTGATCAAGAATACGCATATTACCGGACACAATTTTGTTCTCAAGAATAGCTCCCGCAGGAATATCTATACGATCACCATGATTGACAATGATAAAGACAGTACCGCGTAGTGAAACGCCGCGACCGAACGTCACGTCTCCAGACACAGTCAAATGATCCACCCAAGCAACAATTTTTGTTTTATTTAAGTTTTATAGCAGTTGATATAACCAAATTATAAAACCTTCACTGACGACCACATTGCTTTAATAATCTCCTGAGAACCGCAATACAGCCATGTCATGGCCAATTGGCCCAGTTTTAATGCAGTCATTAAAACTTGATATGCGAACTACTTTAGGAGCATAGGATTTATGTCAGTTTTATCACACTCTAGACGTGATTGTTAAAAATGAAAACATAAAACCTCCTCCAGGTCAGAAAGTTTTAACAGCCTTCTAATGACTACCATAAAACTATATTACAACCGCATAAATCGCTCCTGAAGAAGTTGATAAAACATGATACGCAAAACATTTTGACAACTTTGAAGGTTTTAAGTTGGGGTTTTTGGATGATAGTTAATATTGAGAAATATTTTATTGTGGTTTTATTCTTTTGATGTGAAATCATGATCCTTGTCAGTTGGTAATAATGGCTGATATTATTGTACATTGAAAATAAGACGACTTTATTATAATTTTAAACCAATCTGTATATGCTTCACAGCATGCCGTGCAATATTTATGGTGATTATTATACCAAATAGGAGCATAAATTTAGTGCGCCATATGAATACTAAAATATAGGGATATTTTTAATTTGTCTGCATTAGCACCATGCATTAAAGAGTCATTCAAAGATTATCTATTTAGTACAAAACTGTTACTACTGTTGAGCAATAACCAGTCACATATTATTTAATTATACATAAATGTATGAAAGTGTTTTATTGCCTATCAATTAAAGCGTAATTATTCATACTGTGTGAAATTTGTTCATACGGCGACATTTTTTTTCGTTATAACTTGCTACTCCTTAAAAATACCTCAATATAACATATTCTCCTAGATTGGAATTCTATAGCATAACATAAACCTAATGGTTGTATCTTAGCATTTCGTAGTCCAAATTGAGAGCGTTAAGTTATATTTAAGCTATATAACTAGCTTGCTGGTTTTATTCGGTACAGCGAATCAAAACAAAACAAAAACCATGACCACCTGTCAAAAAGTCAACATTCCAAGCGATCCTCCTATTTTCGCTTGTAATCAAGATGTAAGAAATGCTCATTGGATCTTTTAAAAGCTTTTACAATACAAGGTGTGAAGCCGTGATGCAAATACTGGCCATCTCCAACCGGATTTAGTGAAACTGTCTGCGTTGTTTTAAGAAGGGTTCGTGGATCTGTCGGAAGTGTATCGGAAAGCCGCTTATTCAATATTTTTAAAAGCTCATTCACCACACTGTGCCTTATGTTGAATGGGGGAGCCCATAACTGTAAATACTCCAGGAGTTTCATAATGGCGATTGTCTCATTTTCATCGTGTTTAAAAACACTGAAGGGGTTTTCATTTCATGTATCTCAATAGATTTGTTTTTTTTTATATTGGTAACAATTTTCAGAGTATTTTTTGTTATTGTTGTAGTATATTTCTTATCTGTAAATCTTAGGCCTCTGATAAAGATGATGGTTGTAATGAGGTTTTGATGAAGGTCTAAGACTGCTTCAAGTTTTATATCGGTCATAAAAAGTATGCCATAAAACATAATTGTATGTTTTGTTTTGGTTTTATTCTTCAGTTATAAGTAGTGATGCAGAGCCACCTTACAGCTACCGTTAAAACTATGAAGTCTGAGTTTTAATTTAGTAGTCATAAAACAGTTTTATAGACGACTTGACGGCCTGATTTTATGACAAGCACACAAAACCGTAATACAACCACAGGCTGGAAGGGATGCTATGATAAAACAATGATAAAATAAGAATAAATCTTCCAAGCATTTAGATTGTTACTTGGGCAGTTCGATTAAATCAGGAATATTGGCGATTCGTCCAAGAAATTCTTTAACCTTGCTAAAATGATTGTCTCCCAACTTCACCAACGGTGTAGTAGGGAACATACGTTGCGGCGACATAACTAGCGATCCATACTTCAGGCTGTACAGATTAGACATAACCAACAGCAAATCGGAAGTTTTCTTAACGGGCAAGAAACGCGATCGAGGTACATTGATGCCAATTCCATCGTCGAAACATTTCATAGCTGCACCAACAGCGGTTTCTAGCTGAATTACTCGCATGCCGTTGTCCAAAGTTTTCTATCTGATGGTGGTGTTGGCATGCGTGGGTGGGATGCTGGTTGCGCAGGATTGGCGATGGGATGCATTGTTTGCGGGAGTGGATGCGTCCCTTCGGGGGAGTATTCGAGATTTATGTATGTTCATCGTTCATCGTTTCATTTGTCAGAGTGATGACCACATTACCGCATGATGCATGTTCCTCGGCTTTTTACGGTTAGGTGTATACGAATAATTCACTATGATTTTATTTAAAACTTGATATAGTTTGAGTTTGAATACATCCTAGGTCCTAGTATATTATTATTAAATATTCATTGATAAATATTTATAACAGGATCAAAACACAACTGGAAGAAGCAACGTAACATCATTTGATTTTCTGTAATGTATGTTTAACGTTTATATGACAGTGAAATTAACCATTTTATTTTTCCTTTCCAGGATAGAAAGTTACATAACTTATTGATATATTTATTTGTATATTTGTAAATACTTATTTAATCAAATTCTGCATATGAGTGATGAGGAAGCTTATTGTGTTAGTGAGCCCTCCGTTTAGGCTGGACGCATTGATTTAAATCTTTAAGTTTATTTTCAGCTCTTTGACATTTTTAGATTAATATTATAATGATTCACTATTTTCAGCCTTCGTTCAGGAAAATACAAAGAACATTGGAATGCATGATTACAATTGCATAAAAACTGTTAAATGTCCAAATAACCTCGATTTTTCTGACTATTGATGCATTATGAAAGTTTACCATTATTTTAAAAAAGCATTCCATATTGCGTTACGAAATTCCATGGTGCATAATAAAGTGTTTGTTTCAATTCCAATAAAATATCAGAAGTTGAAATCAGTTGAATGTATTGAGGTTAACTGAAATCGAGCTTATTTGTATTTTGTAATACTTGTTTATTTAACATTATTTTATATATTGCATGACTAGTTAATTAGTTTTATTTCACATATTTAAAATCTCATTAGATCACTATATAACTATCATTATATAACTATAATTTTCATTTCTAGAAAATAGTTGTCCTGTAGATCCTGAAGGACCAGAAGGTGTATCAAATAGCTTATCATTGTTATTTACTGTTTATTTTATTATAATATAATTTGAATTTGGCCGGTCGCTTTTGGTGCAGCTCCACTTGGTTATTTGGCTGAGATCATTCCTTTTTATTTATTTATACAGTAACCCCTCCCTATTGTTTAAACATCAATTCAGCTTATCGTTTACCAAACCGAACCTTGCTGCAATCCCTACCCTCTTACCCAACATCCCAGTGACTCCTCGTGGAAGTGCAGAGGATTTCTCGGCTTCCATCAAAGCGAGTGTCACGTCAACACATTCCTACCCATTCCTTTCTTGACCTGCGTTCAGGCGCGGCTGGCGCTGGTATTGCCTAATTTGAGATCACCAGTTTTTACACATTGAGGATGATTGCTAGTCCCAAGCATCGTCTATTGGTTCTCTGTGTAATTACAGCTGATCTGGTAATAACAGAGTAGCAACCATGGGCGGTAAATCATGCTCATGCTCATGCTCATGCTCGATATTGGACAGGAAGAGGTATTCACGTCCTTCATCTAGGAACTTTTCAGCAATCCAGAGTTCTGGAATGATTGGTAGAAATCACCGTGACCCGGTGGATACCACGCTTCTTTTTTTTCTTTTGGTTTGTTTTTTCCGTCGATCTTGTTTTCCGTGCTGAGCACCAATGCTACCGACGTGCCAGGAAGGCAGCTCCTACACCTGGACCCTACCTATCGACCCATCAATTCATGAACCGGGGACCAACGGCTTTACTTCCCATCCGAAGGAAGGCGTGATCAGAGATGTTATGCCTCAGAATATCCCGGCGGAGCCGACTGGGATTGAACCCAGGCCTGCTGGGGTGAGAGGTAATCACGCTTACCACTACACCACCGGCGCCGTTGATACCACGCTTCGATATCGTTTCAATATTGAAATCCTTGGCAACTGGCAGCAGTGAATCGCGGCTGACGCGAGGATAACAGCTTTGATTGAATGTGTAGATCTTAACCTGGAACCGCTTGTACTTGCGAATGACCTTTTCCGTATCCTCGTCGGTATTGAACGGATGCATCAACACCAGTGGTACGTTGGCTCCATATTTTTTGTTCAAATGCTCTATTTGCTGCACAGTTAAATTGAGGAATGTTAGATCGTTACGAACAGGGATTACACTCTTTGGTCCGTTCAAACAACCATTCAGTTTTACGACGACCAGTCTATTCAGCATTTTGCAAATCTCCGATTCTTGTGGAGTTTTGAGACTGGAGTAATCTTTTACAGCATCCTCCGGTAGCTTTTGGATACGGTCCCACTCAACCGAGGGACCATCTTCCTGCCAGAACCGATGAAAGAGTGCTTCGAATCCGCACATTTCTTTCTGCAGAATTGACTTCCTGACATCGTCGGCAGTCTGAAGCAGATTGTCCAGATCCTTGCGCAAACGAATCAACGCATCGCGCTTGGTAGCCTCGTGGAATTCCTTGGAGTCTGATGGGACACGTTGGAGTCCACGGACCTTCTGTTCATTTGCAACTGCTAACATTTCGCCTTTGCACCGTAAACTTCCTGACGTGTACGAATTTAGCTGTCTCAGTCGGATGTCGGATGACAACTTATAATAAGTAATTTACGTAAAAAGAAGCGTGAAGCAAGGGATATGCGAGTAAATCCCTATTTCGCAGAGCGGAGCACCGCTGTAAGTATTTACTATATTTCTCGCCTTCGCTACGATTACAAATAATGTTACATTATTCTCAGTGTGACGATATGACATCATATCCACCAGCCTTCAAAGAAAATTTTCATATACAAGGCCTGATGATGGAATTTCTCCGAAAGAAAAGCTCGCAATTACTTTGGAGTAAACATTTGCCCTTATGTAAGTCTATAAAAATATAAAATTTTGTTTTCAGATACCTTGCTTTAGGAACATTTGAACGCCATGTAGCGTATCATCATATAGAGTTAGCAAGTCAACAATTGGTTCTATTATATTCAGCGTTTGCAAAGCTATTCGTGTAGGAATTGTTGCCAAAATCTACATAACAAAAACAGATGGATTGAAACTGCTATCAGGTGCCCTCCAAACACTGGAAGTCTATTTTTCAATTATAAGGTATTGTGGTATTATGTCTAGCGTTCAGAATCATATGGGTCTAACTGCGATGATCGATTCTCTTCATAGATTTTATTTTTCTGCTAATAACTCAACTCGATTCACATTTCTCGGTGCATGCAATCACTTTTGCTAGCTAATACAACGTTTCCTTACACTTTAGTGTAATAATTTCGGAAAATTTGTTCACTGAACTGTGGCAATGCAAAGAGAAAATCGATGAAGATAATCGATCATCGCAGTTAGGTCCTTATGATTCTGAACGCTAGATGTATTCGTTAATGCAATCCAAACGTAACATCAGATGAACATTCCTGGAGAAATTCAGTCATTGTATGTACCTGATGAGTTTCCAAGATTCGATGGACAAATTATACTGCTCATCACTTTTGGAGGTACCGTAAAACGGGGTAACATTGATAGTTTTTTAAAGTATATTTTAAATATTTTTTACAGCAATGACTGTTTTTCAAATTTTGTATTTTTAAAACAAGGACTGAGGATCCAAGAGTTAGTTCGTTAGTAATATGTTAAACGAAAATTAAAGCATTTACACTTTTTTTTTTTAGTTTTGTAACCGAACTTCAGTATTTAGATTTGGGGTTACTTTGATAATGATCGATGAATGTAGAAAAAAATGAGTGAAACCAGACCCCCTTCACTCTTTGGATTTTTTTTAGAGACAGATAACAGCGCCAAACGGTTTGTAACGAGACAACGTTGAACTGCAGCGTTGGAAGAAAACACGCACACCAACATCTATACATGTACGAACCCACACAACTGAGCGGACGGTACAGCGCAAATCAAAACACGAAGCGGTGTCATCACTCATCGTCTTCATTCAGCTTCGGCTACTTCCGTTTGCGTTTGCTTTCACCGACGTTGACAAATACTTCCTAGTTCCTACGTTATAAAATAAGAAAGTAATGATTATTCAAACGTAATTTTCTGAATAGAATGCGTGCTGCATTAGCCAAAGAAGACGGCACATTTTATTACGTTTAGCAATGATTTCGATACGTTGCATTTCCAGTGGCTGGGGAGTGGTTGGAATAATTCTTTAGAGAGAGTGAATGTTTTTCCCATGTTTGCTTCTATGCTTATTAAGATTCTTTTGAGCACCAGCTCCGCAAATCATCAATTAATATTAGAGATTTGCATCCTACTGATACCGGTGGTATATTTAAAACTCTTTCGCTCGAAAGCAAAACATATTACAAGCACATCATGATGCGCGCTTGGATGTGTGATTGTTTTCTCAAGTGTTTCTGTTGCGTATAAAGTGGTGATGATTGAAAATCGGAACAATCACAAACAAGTTAGAATTTTGCTATTGCAATATAATGATGGTGACTTCGAGGATGATATCGTCCTTTTTCCTCGGCTGATCATCAACGTCCGCATTGGCATCTATCATGCTGACACCTGTCAGTTATTGAGCCCAGGTGGTGAAGTTGGCGGGGAACTCCCAACAGTTTCAATGTGCACTCAACAGATGGCACTGCGATCATATACGGGTGGTAATTATATGTCTTGTATGAGGAATTGATTAGTGGGATATCTTGTTAATTAGATATCTTGGCTTGTAGGAGGAATTTATTAGTGGGATATCTTGTTAATTAGATATCTTTGGTGAAGCTCAAACAATTTAGTTCTTTATATATGAAACTTTGAATGAGTATATAATCAGAAAACTTCATAAGCAATAAGATTACAACATTGAATTTTGTTGGAGGCGAACCAGCCCAAGGCTGAAAGCCTCCCAAAAAAAGATAAATTAATTAATTAACATTGAATTTGTGATGACTGTATCGGAAATACATTTCAAACGTGATGCTTTGAGTGCTTTTTCAAAAAGGCAAAAAACACGAAAATGGTTTTAAATATTTTTGTAAAATATGTAACACATACTATATAAAAACTATATACCATACCAACGGAAATACCCTAAGCTACAATATGGAACCAATGTTTCTTATTTCGAAAAAGCACAGCGAGTAAATTTATTCTTTACTATCAAGGTTACCCGCATTATCAAAGATACCCCGTTTTACGGTACCTAAAAATGATATAAGATTAGTGGTGGATCTCAGAGGCCCAAATCAAGCAATCATCCGAAGTTCATGAGGTGTTTTCTATGGAGATGCACATCTAGCGAGTAGCGGTTGAACATAAGTCCACTCATCACGCGAATGAAGTCTCGACTTAAGCCCAAGCCTTTAAACCACGCTCTCGAAGAAAGATTAGGAATAATTGAATGTAACCACCGTCTGAAATTTCCATTGTCCCAATCGGTTGGCCGACTCGAAAGAGTACTCTGACTGGTCACTTTTACTAATGTTCCGGATCTTCTGGAGGACAGTCCCATAGCCATCCGGGTTCATGTTTATGTCACGATCTCAAATTCATTCTTAAATCACAGTTTTCGTTGCGTTGGCCTAGGATTAGTTTCGTGGATTGACCACTCATTCGGAGGACCGTTACGCTATCTCCAGAATCCATATTAAGCAACCATGACTGTATTCTGGCTAATTATGAACATTTATGTTCATTAATCAAAATTATAGGTCTGAGGCCACTTGCAAAACCAATAAACCTTAAAAAACGTGTAACGACTCTTTTCACTTTAAAAAGAAAGGAAACCAGCCTATTTTCAATAATCTACAAATCCTAGGGATTCTAGTGGTACCACATTTTTTGAAATTCATCAAGAAATGGCTAAGATATGGTATTGCAAACTTGCCGTTACACGTTTTTCGAACTTAACTCTTTCATCTTTTGCTCTTTCATAGAGATTTCCATATTTTAAACGCATAACTTACTTAAGTTCGCAAACTTATAAGAATGAGAAAATGAGTGCATTCACTCAACTTCTGCATCCTGGTTATGCCCATGAATAACCCGGTTTGGCATTTCCCAGTTTCTTGAGCTATACTATAATTTAAGGATTTTCTTTCTGAACAAACGAAGTCTTTTCTGATTGTAATAGAAGTACAAACACACACACATATGTTTATTTAATCAACCTCCTGTAGATTGGTGTCAATTTTGTTATGATATTTTGATCTTTACTGGTTTGTCCTCGATCTTAATTCTAGTTACATATCCTGCCTGCCACATGAATATTTATGTTTGTCAATAACCCGGACGATCTTATGTTAGCTTAAAATTAGTTGAATACCTACTGTTCGTTCGCTGTGCGCTCCATTAATCGAGTAAATTTCAGACAACACTAATTCTGACGATGTTAACCATCGAGAGGCATCGAAGCACTGTAACATCAAAAAGCGTACAATAATAAATCAAAAAAAGAACCAATAAAACCTAAAAAAATGGCTTCTTGGTTGGAAAGTTTCTAAGGTTTTTCCGGCAGATTTTAATTTTTAATGCTGATTTTTAGTTTTCTATCGCTAGTTCAAGATTTTTATTTGGAAATGAATCGATTATTATTGGATCATTCAAGGTTTTTATTGCTCCAACATATATTTTCTATTGCCATTTTTGAATTTTCTGTTGCCACTTTTCAATTTATTGCTGCTTTTTTCTTCCTTGATTAGTTTTCCGTCGATCTATTGTCAATATCCGTCGAGTACCGACGCCAGGAAAGCAGCTTTCATACCTGGACCCTTTCTATCGACCCATCAACTCACTGAACGGGGACCAACGGTTTTACTTCCCTGATCAGAAATTGTATGCCTCAGAAAATTCCGACGGGGCCGACTGTGGTTGAACCCAGGCCCTTTGAAGTGAGACCGGCGCCGCTATCAAAAAAAACTAATTTCAATCTTCCACTTTTCAAAATTTGGTATAATGACCCATTCAGCCAAAACACCCATATATATTCACATGAACGTAAAAATATATTATATTATCTTATCTATATTATCTTCATTAGAGTGCCAATAACGGTGGAAATTGTTTATTGCCTTGAACAAATTAGGGCTCAATCAGACGTTCATCGGAAGTTTTCCATGAATTTTTCAATAACATCAGTTGTTCATCGTTTTCAAATGGAATCAATCTGATTGCCCCTGCTCCAAAAGTTGTTTCAAAAATACCTTTGACATGATATCTTCCACTTTCAATCTTTCGATTATTCTTCTTAGACAATATTCATCTTTTTCATCATGATTCAGAACGATCAAGGAGAAGGTGAGCAATTTCAAGATGCCCATTTTCATTTGCATAGTCGAGAGGAGTTCTGTTATTTTCATCCTGAAGATCCACATATGCAGATCTATCGAGGAGAAGTTTAGCAATTTCAAGATGCCCATTTTTACTTGCAATGTGCAGAGGACTTGTATTGAGGAGTTTATCATAACCTTGATATATCTCAAAATTGGCGATCAGATTAGCATCGATGCCATAATCAAGTAGAAATAAAACCAGCTCAGAATTACCAGCATACGTCGCAGTGTGTAATAACGATCCATATATTTCGTGTTTTTTAGTTTTCAAATCATTCTTTTGTAGTAGTTCCTTTACTACTTTTACTGA